TATATCTATTTTAAGGTAGACAAGTATATGTTCTACTGTACAAAAGAATACGAAAATGAATTACAGCTACATCAAGATCATGTCAAGCTTACATTATTAAAAATAATTTGAGCTTTAAATATTTTTAAATATTTTAAATTCCCTTTTATAATATTTTAAATCTTCTTACATTATTATTTTAAAAATTCTATTATTCAGCCCCTCCAGATTCAACTGCCTCAAGTCTTTACAGGAACAAATTATAAGCAAAAGTAGGAGTGTCTCTTGGTGTAGAGGTGGGCTAATAGGCATAAGGGTTATGGCTAGAAAGCAGCCACAGGTCACAGGAATGAACACCATGAAAGCCAGAGGCTAAAGTAACACTGCTTCATAAATGAACACAAGAAATGCTGAATGTGTGGTAGCCCTCTTCACCAAGAATAAACAGATTAATCAAATAAAAATACAAATTCAACCAACTGGATGTGCTTCAAGGACTCTTAACATGACCTACAGAAAGGTCTATGTTTTCTTGTGATATCCATTAAATACAGTACATAACTTAAATGTACATGTATAGCATCTCCCTCTAAAACCTCTGTTCTAACTACTCTTGACAGCAGGCTGTCCTGTCCTAACCAGGACTTACTTGCTGTAATTTAGAGCAAGCAAGCTGATGTGAATATTACCAAGTAAAAAGCAGGCCATATGTAAACACACTGCACAAGTTGGGGAGTGGAAGCCTCTACACCTAGTACCTTTGCAGCTGGCCAGCATGGTTTTGGGGGGGAAAGAGATATGCTTTACTTTTATGAAAAATAAGAATCTCTTATTTCCAAGAGACTGCTTTTTTTTCTCATGTATTCTTTGTCGGGGGGAACAGCATGGGGATCCCTTACATCCTCGCACACACATGCAAAGGCTAGAAGAGGACGTTCGGAGTACCGCTCCATCATTCTCAGACTCATCCTCTTGAGACAGGGTCTCTCACTGAACCTGGAGCATGCCATCTTGGCTAGCCAGCAAGTCCCAGCAATCCTTCTGTCTCCACCTCCAGAAGCGCTAGGGTTACAGTACACAGCCACACCGTCTTTTTCACGGGTTCTGGGGGTGCAAACTCTGGTCCTCATGACTGTACAACAAGCACTCATGCCCACTGCACCAGCTCCCCGCCCCTTCTATCATGATGTCTAGCTCCGAGCTCACCAATACTTTAAATGTAGTTTCTTCTTCTCCTCATGTCTGCTTCAATAACAACATATTTAGTGATTTTTCTCTTTATAAATTGTTTCTTTGTTATTTACCTGCCCTTCCTCTTGTCTCCTAGTTTTGGAAAATCCTTTATAGTTGTTTTATTCTTTTAATGCTTGTGCCTGAACCTATAGTGAGAAACACATGTCAAACACAAGCTATTGAAGTTGATCTCTAACAAACCATGACAGTGAACCTTCTCTGGGACAGAAGGGGAAAACTGGGCTACTGTGCTTTCTGGCACAGATGAATAGAGGCTAACTAGAGATCACTGACCCAAAACTGGATGGCTTACACAGGTAAGCCGTTTTATTGCTTCCTGTTTTAACAACAGCTTCTCTAGAGTTAGAATTAGCATATAAAGTTGTGTTTGCCACAGACAGTGTCAAATTCTAAGGTGGACAGATCGCAGAGTGATCTGAATTAGTAATCTTTTCAGATTATCTTCTTACTAATACAGACTTAATGGGCTTGGTTTCATGTAATACCAGAAAAATGAATACCTCAGGGAATTTTGGGGAGAAATACTAGCACTATAAAGGATCGTTTTACTTATTCATTCAACCATTCAATAAAGGATGAATTAAAAAAAAATGCCTGCTGGGTGGCTAACACAGTGGCAAAAATAAATAAATAGGTAGATAAAAATCACAACATCAAGCTTTATAAAGACAAAGGAACCCCTTGTTTAAAAAGTAAATTAGCAAAACTTGTACAAAGTCATTTCTGAAATGTTCCTGGTAAGGCCCAGTATCTTAATGGGAGACTCCTGTCTATCAGGAAACACTCAACTTAAGAGTCTGCCTTGGGGACTGACTCGGACCCCCCTGAATATGGGTCTCAGCCAGAAGGTCTGAGCAGTCTAAGAGACCTCAGACAGTGGAGCCAGGATGTATCCCTGGTGCACAAAAGGACTTTGCAAACATATCCCCCATGGAGGGATAACTGCCTTATTCTAGAGATAGGAGAGAAGCCCTAGTCCCTACTTCATAGGACCTGTCAGATCTACATGACCCCAACTGGATGGCATTCCCCTACATATGGTATTGTGGTGGGGGGGTTGGGAGGGGAGGGTGTTTAGAGTGCATGGGAGAGGGCAGAGAGGGCAAAAGGGAGGGAAGGAGGGAGGGAGGGCTGGAGGGGAGGGAGGGAGGGAGGGAGGGAGGAAGGGAGGGAGGGAGGGAGGGAGGAAGGGAGGGAGGGAGAGGGAACTGGGATCGACATGTAAAATAATAAATTAAAAAAAAAAAAAAAAAAACGCTTTGACTCCAAAATTTAAGTTGAAGAACAAGTTACTGGGGAAAAGTATTTCTATTTTTGTTTCCACAGAAAATGAAAAGATGTGGATTCCTTCCAGACTAATGTGGTTTGATCACGCCAGACCGCCTGAAACAGAGTACAAGCTGATCCTACATTCCAAACAGCTGGACAAAACAGCCCTACAGACTACAGCTAGGATATCTGAATCTTCTTCGAATCCCCCAAGACAGCGCCCTTACCAGCAGGAAGTAGTTTGGAAAGAACGACACCCAAATTCCCAAATATTGTGTATAAATGTTTGTTTTCATTTAATTGGACTTTGTTATATAAAATTAAATAAAAAAAATAAATTATTAAAAAAAAAAAAAAGAGTCTACCTTGGAAAGGAACATTCCAAAGCACGCCTGACTGTGCTTCTGGGCTGGAAGGGAGCACTCCAATGCATGCCTGACTGCTTCTAGGCTAGAAGGGAGCACTCCAAAGCACGCCTGACTGTGCTTCTGGGCTGGAAGGGAGCACTCCAATGCATGCCTGACTGCTTCTAGGCTAGAAGGGAGCACTCCAAAGCACGCCTGACTGTGCTTCTGGGCTGGAAGGGAGCACTCCAATGCATGCCTGACTGCTTCTAGGCTAGAAGGGAGCACTCCAAAGCATGCCTGACTGTGCTTCTGGGCTGGAAGGGAGCACTCCAATGCATGCCTGACTGCTTCTAGGCTAGAAGGGAGCACTCCAAAGCATGCCTGACTGTGCTTCTGGGCTGGAAGGGAGCACTCCAAAGCACGCCTGACTGTGCTTCCAGGTTTGAAGAACGTTATGTGTGTGTTCAAAGCAAAGTGCTTCTATCCTGGTTCTAATGGTAGAGTCGAACTTCTGCTTCCCTAGTGAGACAGTAGCCTAGCTTTGGCTGGTTCTCAGATGAAGATGAATCCATAAATAACCAAGATAAACCCATCACTCTTAACTTCCATCCATACATTCATTCACCCCTACACATTAAAGAAAACACTTTAGGTGCATGCCATTCCCAGTCTGGTAGATGATTGTGTTATAAGATTTGTTTGTTTTAACTACACAGTATTCTGAAAGAGCATTTTAAGGAATTGAATGTAAACAGTTGCTACCACTTCTCTTCTTACTATTGCCAGGTAGAATAATGTCTTACTCCAATATTCTACTTCACTATTATCTCTTAAAGAACTAGGGAAGTGAAGAGGTTCTTTTGTAACTACAAGCTTTGATATATAGAGTCCTTACATGGGAACACTCGCAGTTAGTACTATCCCACATGAGAGTCTAAGTGTTTGCATGTGATATGTCTACTTGTCCAGCCCTACAGTGTCTGAGACTAGAGGAATGCAGCACATAAAATCTGGCATATTCTTGGCTTCTCGTTCTTGTACTGCCTTGACAGTCTAGGAAAATTAGTATTGAACTTAATTTGTCCAGATTTATCTAGGGCAAAGGGAAAGCTTAGATTTTAGACTGCTCCAATTCAATAAACCATCCTCGATAGGAAATGTCAAACCTGTTTTTATTCTTCAGGCTTACCGAAGCCACCATCTCTCACCCAGTTTTGGCTTTACATGCAACTGTAAACAAAGGGATTCTCTACAAAGGAGGGCAATGACTACATGATAAAAACTTTTACATCTTTATAAGTCATCAATCTATACTGAAACACAGAAGCTTCATAAAACAGCCAATGTTCTGGTTCCTAAGCAACATTATTTCCATTCATCAGAAACAAGTAGCATTCATTTAAGATAATGATTTTTTTAATAAGAGAATTAAAATAACCCCAACATCAAAACCAAAACAAAAGCATCTTATGTCCTCACATTTTTATTAAAGTATTTGTTTTATAACCCTGGCATGGTAATAACTCATATTTTCATAACACAAATTTGTCTTTAAGTAAACTACAATACACTTAAGGCAGATTTAACCTGTAAATAGTCCAAACACCATGACATCACTTATACAAAGGGTAAAATCAGAGAGCATCCATATCTTTCTTAGTATTCATCTTTAGACTTAAAATTTGAGTAACACATGGATTTCTAATAAATTTCACTTTTAAGATAGGAAAAAATGCTACAACTATTTTGTAATTTCTTCCTTTACCTTAGTAAAATAAATATAGATAGTACTAACAACTTAACTTTTAAATACATGGGGGAAATCAACACTTTAGGACAGCTCAGAGGTAGAACACCTGCCTAGCACGTACAAGGCCCCGGGTTCAATCCCCAAGACAAAAGAAAGAAAACAGAAAGGAAGGAAGGAAGGAAGGAAAGAAGGAAGGAAGGAAGGAAAGAAGGAAGAAAACACAATGTTTTATATTCATTTCTCATCACTCTGTAGGGAACATAATGAGTAGCTGCTATAAAACCATATTATTAAGTATTGCCTTAAAATCCTGCTTACATGATTTTACATAATCATTTAGTTATCCAAATACATAAACCCAATGTATAAACTCTGGTTCCGCTAACAGCAGAAGACTGGGTAGTTCTGAAGATCCAGTCTCTGGTCTCCTGTCATTAATACTAAGCAGGGTTTTTAAATTAATTTGGTGATCCCAATCTTTGAGGGAATCTATATCACAAAACCTCCAGGGGACCAATGGGCTCAGGTAGAAGATGCTGGAGACCAAAAGGCTGACAGGTAGTGTTTTGTTAGCACATCTTTGGGAAGCGGAATGCAACTGGAATGCCTGTTATTTATCACTGGAAAGCAAGAGCCATCAAGTCATTTCTTTAAGAAAACATGTCTTTACAGTTTGGATGTTTTCAAATGTGCAGTGTTAAAAGGACACGCACAGTTAGGATTTGATCGCGAAGGATCTCGGCGACTTGTCATTCTCCATGGCTCTACTGTGGTCAAGCTCTTCTCAAACACAAATGCACTGATCTTTAAAGCAGGACAAACTCTTCTGTGCTAAATCGTTTGAATCTTTTCTTTTCATCTTCTGAGAAAAAGTCTTCTTCACTGGCTGCAGTAGACGTAAAATCAAAGTCTCTGGAATGGCCATTTACAAAAGTAAACAACGGATATTTCTCCTTAGAGGAAATTTTCAGTATCTGCAAGAGACAGCACAATGAATCACACACTGGATGCAACTGCACATAGTAGGGCCACGTGACAAAACTAAACATTTTAGTCCTGGCCTCGTCTTGTACATTTCTTCCCCATTCACCCAGTGCTGTGTGGTTTTTGTTTTAATTCTTATTTTAATTATTTTTTATTATTTAAAAAATTTTATTTTTCATTTTACATACCAACCCAAGTTCCCCCTCTCTCCACATCTCCCTCCCCCCTCACCTCCCTGCTTCCCACCCCCTATCCATTCCTCAGAGGAGGTAAGGCCTTCCTTGTAGAGTCAACAAAGTCTGACATACCAAGTTGAAGCAGGGCCAAGCCCCTCCCCTCTTTATGAAGGCTGAGCAAAGTACCCCACCATAGGGAATGGGCTCCACAAAGCCAGTTCACATACCTGGGATAGGTCCTGGTGCCACTGCCAGCCCCCCACCCCACCCCAAACAGATCAAGTCACAGAACTGTCATCCACATTTAGAGGGCCTGATTAGGTCCCATGCAGGGTCCCCAGCTGTCAGCCTATAGTCCATGAGCTTCCACTAACTTGAGTCAGCTGTCTCTGTGGTTTTTCCCCATCATGCTCTTGACCCTCCTCCCCTTGTCACACCACTGGACACGTCTGCCAGACAGAAACTCAACAGTGCAATTGTTTTAATTGCCATGCCTACAGGATTAAAGCTGATGAGCATCACACAGCTTACCCATAAAAATACCAGCTAGGTCACTAGTCCCTTCCACCCCAAGGTCTCCCACAGTCTTCCAGTCCCATTAATTTTGTAGTCATGCCGAAGAACTAGCTCATATTTATCTTCTTTTAGATAGTAACCAGAACATGACAAAATGGTAGTGAAATGTTATGAAAGATAGTCCGTTAAGATAACACACGGTAAGAGCAGTGTGACACCGAGGCAGATGGTCCAGTCTAGTCTCAATTCTGCAACTACCTCAAGGTGGCCTTGGGCAAATCACTCTCCCTTATCATCTATGAGACAGCCCAAGTCAGCCAATTTCCCTACGAAAGAATTATTTTCAAAAGCGTGAAAGCATTAATATGAAGCTCTTTGTAAAATTCAGTTTGAGGGTCAATGAGATGGCTCAGTGGGTGAAGATGCTGGCCTGAGTTCCATCCTTGGCACCCACAAGGTGGAAGGAGAGAATTAATCCCCACAAGTTGTCCTCTGACTTCCACGTGTAAAAAATGGCATATGCATTTTTAATGTAATAAAAATAAATATGTTTGTTCTTTTCAAAGACTCCAACAGTTTTGACTGAAATATTTCTGCTTTAATCCAGTCAACATGAAAGAGTGTTGTTCTCTTGTACAGTAACAACATATTGCCTCCTTACAAAAACAAAACAACAACAACAACAACAACAAAAAGCAGCCCCTAAAATCTTGTAGGGGACCTGCAACTATTACATAACAAACATTTATAAATTGTATATCCACATGTACTTTGAACAATTTAAAATTTTCTGTTAAATAAATTCTATTGAAATGCAAACAATGTTCATAAAACAAATAGAAAACTTTCTCTGAAGGACGTTTGAACAGAAAATTTTCTTTCTCTGTTTTTCCACTTTTGAGACAAAAATGTCATTATGTCCCCAGACTGGCCTCAACCTCACAATGGCTCCGTCTCTGCCTCCAAATACTGGGATTACAGTCATGTACCAACAGGCCTAGCAAAAACCAAAATTTTATTGTCAATAAAGACCATTAAAACTTTCTGAAAACTTCAAGTTATACAGCAAAGGCTGAGAGAATATCAACTGTACATGTACACATCAGTAATCATCAGTTAAATATGGTTTGTTATCGCCTATAGATTTATCTCTCTCTCTCTCTCTCTCTCACACACACACACACACACACACACACACACACACACACACACACGTAAATTCTCCTGAAACATGGCTTACCTGGGTAGCTCTGGCAATAGAAACAATGTAAAAAACATTTCAATGAGACATTTAACATAACTCCCCCCTCCCTTCTTTGTTGCTTGGAAACAAACCATTTTAAAACAGCCAAGTACTAAAACATCAGAGCTGATGAAAACAGATCTTGTAATTCATATCAGGCTTCTAATTTATACTTTGCTCTAGTTTATTTGATTTGTATTCTACAAAAAGAAAAAAAAGAGGAAAAGGGCAAAAATATGGAAAATAAGGAACAAGAGGCGGAAAAAATTGGCATCTAAGGAATCATCTTCTACCAGCCAACAGCTGGGAAACATGCCAGACCTGCTTGTCATTTTGTCATTTTACAGCCATTTCATGTCACTTGTAAAGTCCAGTACTGATGGGCAAGCATCCATAGTACATTGCTTCCAGATCAACACAGCATAGCTAACATTAGAATCTTCACATTTTCTTTGAAGATCAGAAAGGGAACTTTTGAGTTTGTTGGCTATGACCAAGAAGCTCATTGATCCTCATATTAAATCTGCACCCCAGGGAAAATGTCAAAAAGAAAACTTTTGTCCTTTATAAAGTGTGTTTTCCCTCCTGCATCTGGGGCATCCTATACAGAACCTGTTTATCCCAGCTTTGAGACTATCAATGGCACAATCTTTCTGAGTTTATTTAAAATAATACTAAAGGCTCTCAAATGAGAACTATATTAAAGGTTTATCCAGGGAGATGGGGAAACGGCGCAGGGTTAAGAACACTGACTGCTTTTCCAGAGGACCAGGATTCAATTCCCAGCACCTACATGGCGACTAACAACCATCTCCAACTCCAGTTCCAAGGGATCTGATGCCCTTTTTTCTGCCCTCCATGGGCACACAGGCAGAAAAAACACCCATGCACATAAAATTAAAAACAAAGGTTTACTCAAATTAGTTAAAATGCAATGTCCACATTAACCTGAAGCATAGGGTTGGAGAGGTGACTGAGCAGTGAAGATCACTGGCTGCTCTTGCAGGGGATCCGAATTTGGTTCCCAGCACCCACATGGCATCTTCAACTGTCTGTAACACAAATATCACAGGATCCAACACCCTTTCACTTCCAAGGCACCAGGAACACACGTGGTGCATATACATTCATGCAGGCAAACACTCCTATCCATAAAATAAAAATAAATGCACTTATTTAAAAACCCTGCATAAATGTTTTTTTCCCGTAGTGTCAAAAGTTGGAGGTAATCAATACGCTGCTGTTCTTTAATGAGGGAACAAATAAGTTGTGCTAATACGATAAATGGAATGTTAGTCCAGGCTGGAAAAGAATAAGCTATTAAAGCACACGTAAAAACTTTAAGCACATACCACCATTTGGAAAAGGTGGATCTGAGGCGTCTACATACTGCATGGCCTCAGTTACAAGACATTCTGGAAAAGGCAGAAGGATGGGCACAGTAAAAAGATCAGTGTCTAAGAGGACAGAGACTGAACAGGTACAGCAGAGAGTTTTCTGACAGTTAAACTATTGCTTATGATATTATAATGACATGTGTCTCGATATGGATTTGGGGCAATAGCGATATGTCAATCTGAGTGCCTTGGTTGTAACAAATACACTACCCTGTTGTGGTAGACTGATCCTGGGGAGGAAGGCAGTGGGAACTTTCCCATTCAATTTTGTTGTGAAGCTAAAGCTTAACATTGACAATTATTCAACCTGTTAAAAATGCACTATAGGATGTTGGGGGGGTGGCAAGAGGGACTTGGAGGAGAGGAAGGAATGGAAACTACAGTTGGGATATAGAATAAATGAATAAATTTAATTAATAAAAGATAAAATCATGCACTATACTGGGCAGTTGACTGGAAGATAAAGCCAAATGAAAACCACCAATCAACATGAAATGGAAAGTAAGATATCTTCTCGAGACAAATGAAAACTGGAATGCCAAAGGAGGCTTTGTAAATTGTCTAGCTCATTCTCATTTCTAAATAGACAAATTCAGGAGCAAAGGACTCAAATGACTGTGCAGCCACAGAAGATGACTACTACACCAACAATTCATTATTGATACATGCAGCTCCAACAACCCGTCAACCTACTTCCCAAATCCTTCCCATAGCTAGGGGTAGCACAGCAAGACATCTTTAAGAACACACAGTACGGACTTGAAAAACTGGGGGGATGGAAAGATGGCTCAGTGGTTAAGAGCTATTGCTGCTCTTCCAGAGGACCCAGGTTTGGTTCCCAGCAGCCGCACCAGGTGCCTCACAACCACCTGTAACTCTAGCACCAGGGGAGCCAGTGTCCTCTTCTGGCCTCAGTGAGCACCCACACAGACAAACACAGGTACATACAAATAAAAATACATTTTAAACCTTGATCCTGAATTTTTTTTTTTTTTAAGTCTGGTGTTCTTTTGTAATTAGAACACTGGTAATGTCAAAAATCTTGGGGTTTTCCAAAGTGGAGAATACAAAATCTACATTTAAAAGTTTCAAATTAGGTTGTCTCCGTGAGACAAAATATCACTAATTTAGCACTACTCAAAGTTAAATACAATGTCGATTATTTAATGGTTTAGGTAAATGTGTATTGTATACTTTTAGATTTGTCTGTATGTGTGTGTGTGTATGCACGTGTGCGCGCACATGCATGTATATGCCATGTTTGTACAAGTGCTGTTGAGGGGCAGGGAAGGGCACTAGGTCCCCTGAGGCTGGAGTTACTGGTGGTTGTGAGCTGCCTGCATCAACTTTAGAGAGGTCTAGATTCTATTCTGTTTTCACAACACAGCCAAATACGTGCTGAAGCTGCTTTATTACCTGAAAAGCAAGCTGTAGATTTCTTCACGGGAAAGAAATATGGTCATACTTTATCTATGGACTGTGTCGACAGGCTTCAGAATTGAGAGGAGAAAAATCCAGAGGACAGGAATTGAGTCATTTATTTCATCATAAAGCTAGTTAGAAGAACGGGAATAAAACAAGTGATCTCTTTCCCCATGCCAAAGTCCTTTCCACTATGTCCTGTCACCGAACATGGAAATCACTCTGGTCCACAGCAC